ATCCTTCATCACTGACACACCTCAGAGCCTCGTCTCTTCTCTGAATCATCTAATATCTTCTGGTTTCTTACCGGACTTCAGGAACAGGGAGTCCTCTAACGATGCAGTCCAACTGGACCTTGCTGCCCTCCGGGACCTCCCTGCTTTTCAGTTTCTGGATGAAATGAGGAGGCTCACACACGGGCTCCACTGGATATGTAGTTTCTGTCAGGGCACAGCTTCCAGCCTCCTCCTGCTCCTCCTGCTCCTCCCGGGTAACAGAGTCGTACTGCTGCTCCTCAGTAATCCTGCAGTCCTGAAACTCCACGTGCCCAATCCCAGAGTCCAGCTGGACCTGTGGTTGGTGGCTCACAGCGGGGCCGGGTCTCTCCCTCTGCTCCTCCACGGGCGCGGCGCTGCGCTCCCTGTTGTCTGGGCCCAGCGGATAAACGGCCCCGTCGATCTGGCTCTTGTTCGGGGTCCTGCTCCGGTGGGTTTTGCACGCTCTCGGGCGAACCCGCTTGGAGCTGTTGGCCTTGAAGAGAGAGGAGAGCTCCTCGATGAAGTCTGCTGCCTTGTTGAGGAACTCCTTCTTGGACTGGGTCTCCGGCCCGTACGGGGCCCCCGTCCTCCCCGCCCTGTTGAAGTCGTTGAATCCCTCACTGGCGTCGCTGCTGTTCCCGGTCGTGTTTTCCTGCAGCGCCGGCGCTTTGTGCATCTTTCTGTCCGATGTGAATGTTGTGTGTGTCGCTGCTGGCGGTTCTTTGAGCTCAGGGAGTGGCTGGGTGAAGGGCAGCGAGGAGGGGGCGGCAACAGGAGCAGGAGAGGGGCTCGCCATGGGAGCAGACGGGGGTTCAGAGAAAGAGGTTAACGGTACGACGGAGGCCTTGACCTCTGCCCTCTCCTCGCGAGGCTCATGTCCGATGGCCTGACAGGCCAGGTTCACGCTCTTATCCAGCTCCTCTTGGCTCAAGAAGGCCGAGAGGTCCGGGAATTGGGGGTCGTGGTGGCCCGCTGAGTCCTCGGCTTTGCCTTTGAGGGACCCGTAGATCTGGAGGCGCGAGGACGAAGCGTCTGAGCGGCTCATCTCGCTGTGGCGCTGCTGGGCTCTGGCCTCCGCCAGGTAGCTCTCTCTTAAGAGCTGAGACAGTGACGGCGGCGGGTCGGTGCTCTCCTGCATGCTGTGGATCAAAGTCCTCAGTTACTTGTTGGAAAAACACTTCACGATTCATATTTGACAGGATTTTTGAGCAGAAGCAGCCGACAATGGTAATGCAGCCAGTGGAAGATCTGATCCTTCTCAGGAAATCAAAACTTGAGAATGACATTTGTTGAGGTCTGTAACAAACTACAGTAAACTACAGTACAGTACTTCATTATAAATCTGTTTGTCACATTTTACCTTCATCAACAAACTGCAGCCTCTGTGATACTGATAATATTTATTTTAATTGTGCAGACTTTGGAAACAGTCTGTTATCACTGTGTTACAAAGCTGTTTCAAAATGTTCACTTTGATGGACGGTATCAATCTAAAAACAGGACAAGAAGTCAAACGATTAGTCGATTAATCAGTCTTATTATTATAATCATTATTAAATGTGAAGATTTACTCCTTTTCTTTGTCTTCTTAGAGAGGAGACTAAATATCTTTGGGGTTTCCACTTGGGTTGTGGGAAAGTGTCAAAGGGTGATTTCACCATTGATTGATTTGTTTTTAACAGAACGAGTTGATTGAGAAACTATCTGGCAGATTAATCGTCCTAATGAGCAGCAATGTAAAGTATATACGACTTCATCATCCGTCAGATAAAACATTTAAGTTGACGTCTAACAGACCTTCAAATGACAAAGAGCTTGTTGTTTTTATATATCTGATACATCCAGCAGAGTTAATAACTCGTATACTGATGCGCCTCGCTTTAATATCACACTCAGTGTTCGGTTGAAGAAATCCTGTGTGAAATATCTGGTGCAAAGATAGATCCAGAGTTAAAAACAAGACATATGTTGTAAAAATAACTTTTTATTTTAACCTAATTTCAGTCTGGACGAGGGGATCAGGTTCGTCCTCCGATACCGGATCCGATGGGAGTTTTTTTTTTTGCCCGTGCACCGCAGACCGACACACGTGTGACGTTTAGTCCTTTGCACAACTTTCTGACTCTAAGCATGAGCAAGTTATTGAATCCAGACATGAGATAGGGCACACATATGCTACTGACACTCAAATCAGCGCAATTAAGACACGCAGCAATGCCCTTCCAACGGACCTGAGGCTGCAGCTGTTGTGTACATTAATCCTCTGCAAACAGGCTCCAAGCCCACCAAGTCATATCTAATAATAGCGAGGGAGTCGGTTTACATGAAGAAAATCAACAAAAAAAAAAGAAAAAGAAGCAGCAGCAACCACCTCCCTCATCCTCCTCCTGTGTGCCCTTGTTACCGGGGTTTTTTATCAGCCACAACAATCATTAATCAAAAGTTCACACACAGAACTATAATTATTATAGAAGTTGTTGACTGCTGATAACAAACAGGCCGAGCAGCAGCAGCAACACAACCCAGGCGGGTTAACATAACTCAATTAAAACATTCACACAGGAAGAGATTCCAGGCTCAATGTCAAAAGGTTTTTCTGAGGCTCTGCACAGCGCCAGAGCCCCGATGCCAGAACAGTCAACAGGAGAACAATTAAATTAGGGGGTGGTGTGTTTTACCTTCAGAATAAACCCAGCTGGCCCCCCGTGAAGGACTGGAAAATCCTCCCCCAGAGTGCACCCGTGCTCAAAAGAGGGAGAGATTCCTGGTTCTTCTAGGTTGCCGCCACCTGAGGGGGAAAATCTCGGCCGCCGGCTGCTGCCCAGGACCTTTTCCCGGTTCCGTGGCGCGGCGTTAACCTTGGAGTTTACAGGGAAATATGGAGCCGAGTCGCTAGGGTAACTTGTCACCAGCACAAGTAGCAACATTTGTCAGTGTGGTAGTCGCAGGTTATTTTGGGGAGGCCTGGCCCATGTGTCTGGGTGGCGTCCCCGCTCATTGGCCAGGGGGGGCTGCTGTAAAGGGATTCCTCCTCCAGTGGTCCGTCACACACCTCCATCCTACAGAATTAGAAGCCCCTTGTTGAGCCTCTCTCTCTCTCTCTCTCACACAGCAGATTAACAGCAAGGATTCACTAATGTTGTGTAGAAATAAAGATTTCTTTGCAACGTTTTCTGAAACAGCATTTGAGCCAGGTGGGATTTTATTCACAGTTGTTTTAACATGGATTTCTTTTCTTGTTTTGCAGCGTGTTAAGAGAAAAAGTGATTGAACATAGTACATCCAGTGTTTGGCATCTGCAGTGACTTCATTAGGTTAGTTATAATGCCTTCTCACGGAAGAAAACACACTTTAAACTCTCGAACAGCGAAGAATCACCTGTGTCCCAAGATTAATGAAATTAGTTTATTTGAAAGACAATGAGAACCCTTTTCCAAGACCCACAGACGGAAACAAAAAGCCAGCCTGAGCATCTGTTTACACTTAAAACAGTGTAAGACCGCGTTTCAAATACTTCTATTCAACTGATTCGTTCTGTGACACCGATCACTAAGCGAAGACAAAAACGTTTACATCATCAGACTATACATGTTAGGAACCTTTAATGCAGCAACAAGTAGACGCCAAACAATATTTGCATATCATTTGTTTCTTAAAATCCGAGAAGCATCAGGTTCTGTATATATTTACAGTTTAGAGACGATTAAAGCTAAGGTAGGTAACGCTGGAGAAACTGGAAGCCTCCATTATATACCACGTTATTCTTTTTCCTCCCGAGAGCCTTTTGATTTACGGACCGCTGTCGGGTTTGTAAAGAGAATTTCAACACATTTAAAGATCCAGAGAGTGACGTTCATTAAGGCTCTGTTGGCAGGAATAGATTAAGAGAAGCCAAACGATGTTTTTATTAGTGTATAATCACTTGAAGATAAGAATTGTTGTGTTTTTGTTACCTTCGAATGAGCTGCACTGTTGAACCACCGTGTTTCTACAGCAGCCCAGAGCAGACCAAACCAAAACACCCTGTGACTTAATAATCTGAAACGACCCACTAAATCCTGCACTGGTCACCTACTGTCAGCTACCTTAGCTTTTAAGGTAAGTTGTTGAACCAACTGAAGTGGAAAAGAAAGGAAAAATTGTCAAACATCGTTGTGTGGTTGTCTAAAGCCTTTCCTGCAATCCTACACGCGAGACATTTAAAGTTCGAGCTTGAGACAAAACAAACAAAACCAGAAGCTAACAAAAACTTGTTAGTAATAAAAAAAAGAAAAAACGGGCTCAGCCGCGACTCCAGACAGCGTATATACGTACACCAACGGCCAGTCCAATGCTTTTTTATGTATATTAATGTATAAAAGAAAAACTGCAAATCCTCCTTTGGCCGGCAACAGGAAAATACAATCCGGTTTCCCAAAACAGTAAAAGGCAAACATGAAGAGAAATTATAGTGAGGTGGATCGACAACCGTCTTCCCTCCTCTCGTTCCTCGAATGATCTTTCCCCAAAAAAATCCCCGTCCGTGTTGAAGTGAAGCTCCACTGGGTTCACAGACGGCAGCGGTGAGGACTCCTTGATTTAACACATGGAACAGTAAATTATTAGCAAGGCAATAGAAAGTCTTGAATTAGCCCCAGTCTATTAAAAGAAAGACACTTCCATGTTAAAAGGTTTAGGAAATGAAACCGCGTCCCTCGTTAGGGACAGTCCGCAATCCTGAAGCAGACACACCCAAGAAGGCAGCTCCTTCAAATGAGGAGGAACGTGAAGGGAAACCCGACCGGCGGCGGCGGCAAGCATCCTAAACGAATAACTGAAGCCGCCGTAAACCGGGCAGAGGAAAGCAACCAATGAAAGGGAGTCCGTGTGCTTTTATAGTGCAGTGAGATTAAAGCCGTCTGCTCGGCAACCCCCACCGTCTTGCTTCTCTTTGCTCCTTCAACAGTGTCGTGTGACCTCCGAGTCGAGGGACAGGAAACTCACACCCTTGTTAATTGTGGTAAAAAGATTGCGGGAGCGCCAGCAGTAAGCAAGTTCTGCAACGAATCCCGGCGACGGCGGGCACGGCTGCCTGCTATCAAGGAGCTTCCGTGCGCTGGCCGTTTTCGAGACTTGGTCGGCCTTCTGGGAAACAAAAAACAGACAATCAGTGATTAGAAAGGTGCGAGCCCAAGCTGCGTTTATGAATCCTGGTAACTGAGACTGACCGAGGAAACTGCCGTTCATGGAGAGCTCCCAGCTGCAACTTCTGGTCGTGAAGCCGGGGCGTAGTCGGGCAGCAGAGACTGAAGACTCCACAGCGGAGGGTTTGATTTGGGGAATAAAAGCCGGGAAAGAGAGCCGGCGGCCAACTGGGCCAACTGAAAAGGAGGGAAAAAGAATCTATGAAACTGCTTCTTCTGAATGTCACTAACACTACCGTCTGTTTGGAGAAACCATTTTCCAGGAGCACTTGATTGTATGAGCCCACTTTTGATTAGTCTCCGAGGATATTTGCTCATTAGAAATCAACTCGGCAGGTGTTTCTGTGACTGTAAAAACAAGCCTCTTGAATATCCAGGTTTTGCAGGATGTGTGGGAATAAAGAAGTTTTCCAGGCAGCAGATAGCGAACAACAGCGAGTAGCTCCCTGGTCGGAGGCTGTAGAGGCCTTTACCACACTGCCATTGTAAGAATGGGCTCACTTGAAAGGGCATGGAATGAGCTTCGATGAGGAGAGCTGAAGAAGAACAGAACACAAACAGAAGGCACAAATTTTTAGTCGCCCTGAATAAATAAATAAACCTGGTTTGAGACATAAAGGGAATCTGAATTCGATGTAGGAGACAACCGCTCGAGCATCGGCACTCACGCAAATCAGATGTGTCACGTGGTTCTCTGCGACGTGATCAAGCGAACAGCTTCATCAGATCCTCCCTAGGTCTCTGTTTAAGCTTGGACTCGATGCTATAGAACTTGTTCTGCATACGTTTTATAATGTTTCACTCAGTTTGGCTGCCAGCAGATCCTCGGACGCGTTACACACACAGAAACTTCAATTAAAGAAACCTACCAGTACATTGAACACAGGAACTATACACTGAAAGAGACGCCGTGTACGCGTCCAGCGACAACATTGAAGTTCTCGATGAAGTTCTCAGGTGGACATGGCTGGAAAACAACAAAAACAGCGGTTCAAATAGTTTAGTTTCTTCTTGTGTGCCGTCCTTTAAACAGTTCTCTCGTGTTTGCGTTTGCTTACTTGTAGATGAAGTGGAAACCTTGCTGCAGATGATTCTTATTTTTACCGTCAAACGTTTGTAAAGAAGCTCCGAGTTGCTGACTGACAAACGCACTTGTAGACGTCTAACTAGTTGAGACAGAAAATGGAAAAAAAGGAGGCGTTTCAATTTAGAACACTTGCAAGGTGGGGAAACCAACTGGGGGCAACAGGATCCTCAATGTGCCCCGGCTCAGGTGCTGTGTTCCTGTCATATCTGTGCGTAAGAAACCGAGATGTGGTCTGTGGGAATTCTGGATCAGCAAGACGGGTCGATCGGCCTTCCCAGGTCTTGGCCAGTTTTTTCCGCGTAGTCTTCTCGCCATCGCGTTTCAGGACTGAGCGAAGGAAGATGCCCGTGAACAAAAATCAACCTTCTGAACATCTTAAAAACATCTTTAAAAACACCTTAAAAACACCTTTAAAACTCTTTAAAAACATCTTAAAACACCTTAAAAAAAAGCTCCTTTTAAAACCATCTATTAAAACACCTTAAAAACACCTTTAAAAACCTTAAAACTCTTTAAAAACACTTAAAAGTAAACTGAGCGTGGAGAAGCGGCTTTACTTCTTTTAAATCAAGTTAAGATCGATTCTGTTAATTCACCCTTTATCAGTCATGATTTGGTTTTTTTGTTTGTTTGTTTTGTTGTTTACCCCTTTTGCTTGTTGCCTCCACAGTACGCCAGATATCTCAGCATTGGTTCCTTATATTTCTAGAGAAGTAAAGGTAATGGTGTATATATGTTTTTTATTCAATTCCTGTACAACTCTGCTGTTATAATCTCTTAGTTTTTGACTTTGTTGTTGTTTATTTGTTTGTTTGTTTGTTTACCAACTCACCAAAAACAAACGAAAAAACCATCGCTTGGTTCTGATCTAAAAGTTCAACAGAAATATAATCTGCTCATTTTACAGAAACTAATAATAATATAGTTAAAGATGTGAACTGATGTTGTTATGTTTATGTGTGCCCCCTGATGTGTGGTCGTGTGTGTGTGTGTGTTTGTGCTGCCTGTGGTGGGGCTTGGGTTTTTTTTTTTCGTGTGGGAGTGGGTGCAATGGTGGTGGGTCGGTGGCCAGAGTCTTTTTGTGTGTGTGTGCAGCGGTGTGTGTGTGTGTGTGAGTGGTGGTGCAGGGTGTGGTGTG